ACTTTATTATTACTATCTTTTCAGGTCATTAGGGGAGACTTTGGGATAGAAGACAGTTAAAGACTGGACGAGTTCCTCCGCCTCAGCTTTAATTTATGATAGGAAAACTGAACTCTTTAACCTTAGGCAAGCTAGTCTTACCACTTTAATGTGAGGGCTGAGCTGGACTCTTATGCTGGAGTTCAGAGGAACATTTAAACAGTCCAGTTTTAAAGGATACCAATCTGTCATATGTGCAGCTAGAGAATTAGTTTGAAGACTAATACGCTCAAGACATCTCAAATTGTCAAAGTTGTATTCTGTCTTGTGATAAGTGTTACCTTTTTGGAGTAATTGGAGTGTAAAGTGAATGGTTTTACAGCCACAGCATTACAAGCATATGAAGAATGTAACCTGGTTCTCACAATGTAAGCATGTAAACCTCAGGAGTTGTTGTTCTTTGCCTTGTAATGCTTAAATGACAGGAATAGGACTGCTGAGATTTACTGTAACAGAAACCACAGACCAGCTCCTTCCTCCTTGTCCCCTGCCTTCAGCTGTGTGTGATCTAAGTGCAAAGTTCAATTGCAATTAGTCATAAAGATCACTTTATGTCACGGTCCTGTTGTCAGTATAGTGTTGCGATACGTGGCGTTTGTTGATTGTGTGCAACTTCCAACTGTCTGGCTGACATAGGTGCAGGTGTTTGCCTTTAAACAGTTGGCAATACATTTCCAAGTTCATATTCACTGACCTTTTTAATGCGGACTGACCAGTCCACACATGGACATAGTTTTCAACTCGGGAACTTTCCAAGTTTGTTGATTGTGTGCAACTGTCTGGCTGACATAGGTGCAGGTGTTTGCCTTTAAACAGTTGGCAATACTCTTCCAAGTTCACATTCACTGGCCTTTTTAATGCGGACTGACCAGTCCACACATGGACATAGTTTTCAACTCGGGAACTTTCCAAACTTAATCACTAATCATATGGTTACACCAATGAAATAAGAGTTTATGTAAATAGTAATAGAATTGACGAGTTTAAACATAAATATAAAGGTATGTGTCAATCAAGATATATGCAAGAACAGGCTCAATGATTAATTAGATGGAACATTGTGGGTGTGGTGTATGAATGTTAATACTGTAATAATTCTTTATTATATTACTTGTGTGGTGTAGAAGAGAATTATCTATGTAGAGATACTGCTTGTAAACCAATGATGGTAAGATGATGTCATGGGGTAGGACTGGATAAGTCTGACTTCTTCCTACTCCATTCAAGCATGTACTAGGTATAAGCAAACTGATATTGGATTAGCATTTGTTGGATATGTGTAAAATTATGTGTGTTGATATATCAACTGTCTTTACATGCTTGAAAGAATAAATAAATCGAAAAATCGAATGTGTCAGTATGGCTGCATTTCAACATGGAGTGGAGTTTGATTAAATAGCTAAATGTCTTTTCACCTGCAAGTCACCACGGGATAACATTTGAGTTTTACTCAGCCAACAGAAAGAAACCAGAGACCTGCAAAACAGGTGGAGGGGCCACCACGGAAGTTGAGGAGCTGAACACATCCCTCAGAGCCAAAGTGCATACACAAGATGTAAGTATGATTTTCACAGTGATATATATAATCAGACGTGTACCTCTGTTTGTTCACCGAAAACATCCTGTCCAGTGACATAACTGAATCAACATTTTTAAAAAATCTCTCACGAGTCTCCTAGAGCCTTTTGCAACAACAGACCTCCCTACGTTTTATTTCATACTGTAGGCTATTTAATAGTAGCCTACGGTATAAGAAAAAAAAATGCTTTTCTTCATCACAGGGTGATGAAGACACTGTCTAGTGTCTGTGATATCTTAGTTACTAATAGGACTATTTAAACTTGCCTATACTGTATTTTGCGTTTGTTTTACATATGAATATACAGTGGGGTAATGAAAATAAATAATGTTAAAAACTTGAACATTCTTATCCTCTTAACAGAGCATGGCTGACCATTACCAAGAGGAGAGCCCACTGACCTTCAACAGCACAACTTCACACAGTGATTTGTTTATTAAAAGGTCAGAATCAGGTTGAATGTGCATATAGAACTCTAAAGATGAAATGTAAACACCATGATTCTAACTATTTGCCCATTTTGTCAAATTTAGGAAAATATTCTTCATGGTCCTCTTGCTCTAAATGCAGTGTGTGTCCTCAGAAAACTTTGTGTGTTTGTATACAGTCCTGGCTCTGGAAAGGTGGTGGATCATTTGTCCAGTGACCAGGCCAGGTAATTTTAGACAATCAGTACATGGAGCACTCTTGCTCCTGTACCCCTTTTTGCACAGCAGTGTAGGGACAGGGGAACGAAAGGGCCGGGATACCTGGTACACTAGAGTCGAGAGAAAGAGATGGCTGAAAAACACCAATTCAACCTACGCAGATAAACAACCAAAGAGGAGAAAGCCAGAAGAACAAAAACTGAAAAAGAAGGACTGTAAAGGACAGGTGGGTTAATGTTTATGCACTGAAAAAAAGGATTCACCGGGTCTTTGGATTTACACAAATTATGCTAGTATATGCAACACAATTCATTCATATTTCCTCTGTTAACATAATTCAAACAAGTTAACCCCTAAAGAAAATTATGTTGGTTTTACACATTATCATTGTGTGGGACCGATGTACACATTACAATCAAGTAAATCCAACAAATCTTTTTTTTCGTGCTCTACTGAAAATTGTGAGGATCAGTATGATGCTGTTTAATATGTGTCACATTTGCTTGTTTGCCAAGTTGGTGGACATTCATCTGTTTTTGAAAAGTTACATTTATAAATACTGATAATAAAATATATAATCATGGTAATATAAAATATACAGAAACTTAATGCTCTTTAACCTGGGAGGCTCTATCACCTAATTTGGACAAGTCTGGTCTCTGCTTAGTGGCGCCATCTAGTGGCTACCTTTCATACAGACATGTGCTCTCTAAACATGCGGTAATAAACTCATTAAATTTCCTTTATGGAAAGTATTATCTTTCAAATTCCCTTTTGGTTGTAATGCTGCTACAATATAAAATGAATCAGTGGGATAATCGATTAAAATGTCTATTTTATGCATTTGTGGAGGATGAAAACAAACCAAAAATTCAATGTGACATTACAGATCAGAAAGCAACTGAACAACACTGCTGAAACAGTGATAAATGCTGATAATGAATGAGAATCTTGATGGCCAGGCGTTCTCTAGAACTCAGTTGACAGTAAAGCCACAGTCATAAAAAGAGCTGCTAAAAATATTAGTTTCTCTACTTAAAAGGTGACTGTTCTCAATAAATTTGTCATTTACCTACACTATGTGTGTTTATACCATTGAATCCACCATTGTATGCAAACACACACACACACACCACAAGCTGTGGTCCTTACGCATTAGGGCTTCTGTATGTGACATTCCTCATGTTGTGTATTCCAAATACATGCCTGTTTCTTTTGTCAAATTGCTATAGATTAATATGCAGCTGTTATTAGTAAGGAAGGAAATGTCATTCATTGGTCAAAATGGAAACAGCATGTCTATGGTGTTAATTCTTGAAACAGGCGATTTACTCACCCACCTGCATAATCTAGCTGATAAATTTGGATAAAAGTGACATGGTAGAATTAAAAGAGTGGGAATGTGTTTGATTTTATTAGATCTAACAGTGCACCTCTGACTGAAGACACTCATTTTAATGAAATTTCACAGTGTTCCCTTGCATATCAATTTATTTGTCCAGCCTGTACAGATGCACATGGGGACCCACATTTCTGGTTACACACAGAGCATCATGCAGCTGATATTTTTTGTTTTCTAATCTCTGTGGAATTTATCCCACCACCACTGTAACAATATAAGAAACTAATTTGGGTAGTTAAATGGGCAATTGCTGCTGCACAGACATAAATGCAAGTTGTGCCACAGCTGTTATGGAGCAACAAGAAAGATAAAGAAGCAGATGATCACAAATATATTCCCACATAGCTTATTACAGTTCCTTTAATTGTTGTGATCATGTTGTTTAAAGGAAACATTCTTGCTTGCCTTACTGGTGCTGCAGTACATGCTAACATCAATGTCACATTATTATTTGAGGTAATATAATCACCAAGCACTGAAGAACCAATGGAGGTCACTTAATCCAGGACAGACTGCTATCCTATAGCTGCACGTATTTGAAAAACTCAGCAGTTCTTGGCCTTGGGGGAAAAGGTGTACGTGAAAAGTGAAAGAAAGAGTGAATGAGGGTCTAGAAAGATGATGAGTAAGGGTATCATCATTGTCCATAAGTCCATGGGATTTGGTTATCATGTAGTACTGTGTGTATATGTGTGTGTGTGGGTGCGTGGGGGGTGGAGGGTCTATTGAGACTCGCCTTCCTTATTAAATTTCGGGATTAAAATTTGTTTTTGGCTAAGGTGAGGTAGGAATTATTCATGTAGTTGTACTGATTGTTATGTTGGGGTAGGTCTCAGAGGAATAAATGAATGCGTGGGCGTGTCCAGAAGGTGGGTTATTAAAAGAGACTAACTTGTGCTATGGATGATTTTGGGACTTAACCATGAAATGTGCACAGTACTTTCTCGACTATATAAATGGGAAATATATGATTCAGAGCAAACGTTTACGGTGCAATAATCTTTAAATGTTCCCTGCGGAGCTACATGCCCCAAAGGGCCGGGCAACAAATCAAACACATCACAATGCTAATATGCCACACAGAATGTGACACAAATCCCAAACGTTTCCTACCGCTACCACACACCACCTGAAGATGGCGGCCCATATCTTCCTATCGTGGCAATATTGTGCATGAGCGCGCACGTGCACGAGTAATTGCGAAAGCTGTTTGCCTCCTCTCCGGTGGTGTTGCCTCCACGTCGCTGCAGTGCTGTGCTGCGCGTCCCTCTGCTCTTTCTCTCTTTTTTTCTCGCCTTCGTACCCAGCGCCTCGCCCCTTCCTCCTCCTCCTTTGCCTCCCCCTCCTCCATCTCTTCCATATCCTTCTCCTCCTCCCTGTGATTGCCTCAGCTTTGCACCCCCCACCCCCGCCCGACCCAGCGTCCCCGCATGGTTCTATCCCCGGCAACTCTGCACGCAGGACGCAGCGGCAAGGCGCACCGCTTCGTTCTGATCTGAAAACACAGTGGATTCACTTGAAAGAGTGGGGGGCCAGGGGCAAAAGGAGAACAAGGAGAAGCCGGTCGCTGACCGTGGTCAGGATCCCATTTTCGGTAAGTAGTCGCGTTATTTTCCCTGCTGTAGACCTAATTAATCGTTCATGGAGGGAAAAGGTGACAAGTCTTTACAGGCCTGTGGTTTAGTTCGTAATCATTCATCAGGATGAAACGTGCTCTTTACATTTTGAGATAAGCAGGAAATCTGACTTCCGGATCATAAGTGTTAGATGATTATTAGAAACCGCAGGTTTAAAAATTATACCTTGCTCTTGAGAACAAGATTACAGCGAAGCTCCTCACGGAAACAAGCGTCCTGCTTTGCTCGGATGACCAAACACAACAGATATTTAGCTCCAGCTAACTACTGACCCAAATTCGCCCCTGTGCGCAAAAGTACCGAAAGGTTGCTCTTCCTCACCAGATAACCAATAATGTTATTTTGACAACTCCACTTACAGCCAGAAGTAAAGCAGTTGTTATAGAAAATATCTGGGCATGATGTTGTGGTATCATGTGGTGCCAAATTCTTTTTCTCATGTATTATTAAAGTATAAATTTCATTGTTTGCCGTTAAGTTTTATGGAATTGCCTTTTGTCTGTACTGTGCTGGACTATGAGAGGTGATACAGGGATAAGAGCATGGGTAAGCCTCCATCCCTCTCCCACAGCCACACTTGTGCTTTGATCAATACGCATTTAGAGCAGGGGGATTGTGCCTGGCAGTTTGTCGAGGGTGCACGATAAATCCAGCAGGTATGGGGAAGAAGAGAAGGAGGCGCAGGGCTGGGCTGCTGTTAGCCATGCTGTGGGTACATGTTCAGTCTACTGCAGGTCATCACTTGGACAGGTGTTTGATGGAGGGCAGAGATGGAGAGGTCAGGGCAGTATACTCAAGTCTGTGTCATGTTATCTTTGTTCTGTGTTGCTTGGAAAATAGAAAACTCTGGGTTGAGATTTGCAGGTTAGGCAGCTTCCTTTGTGGCCAGGCAACCAGTTGTGTAACAAGGAGAACACAGTCCACTCCAATTCCTCTCAAAACTGACCTCTGGTGCAGTAACATGGGAATATAGATTTTTTTTTTCCTCCCTCCCATGTTTTCCAACAACCACTGCTTAGTCTGTTTCAATCAGCATGTTGTCCACTTTCGCAGTACTTCAAATGGTAATAGTGCAACATTGTCGTTGCCTTTGAGTCACACATATTCAAAAATGTCAGATTTTTTTTATTGTTGAGGGATAAGCAACATTAACAAAGGACCTATCATTGTGGGAACTGTTTCAAATATTTGTGTGCAAGTGCATTCTCTCTCACGCATTCCATCCTCTGCCTAAATTTCCTAAAGATTAGCTCCTTTTATATCCACTGAATGTCTCCAGTGGGCATGAAAATCCTCGTCCTTCACCGTGGACACAGATTAAGCTAATTTGCACATCTGTGCAGGCCTAATGGCTAATCACTATGCTGCGCCGGCTGAACAGAAGTCTTTATACTGTGGTAGCCAGCACAGGGAGAGAGAGCAAAGGGGGAAAGCTAGCCGCCGGTGCCGATTGATCGGATGGAGGAGCTGCTGGCTGGCGTCCACGGGATGGAGTGCTGACAACAGCCCAAAGAGCTGCTGGGATGAGCTGGCCCGGCAGCTGCCTAAAAGATTAGTACCGGCGAGAGGGGAAGAGTTTGAACTATGGTTATCCTCCCTGTAGCAGAGCAGGGGCAGCGAAGGTGTGAACATACTGTTAGAAATTTGCTTTTATTTATCAACAGAAAGTTGATTGTGGTTAAGTTCATTGGTAGCCAATAAAATTCTGTGGCTGTCCAAGTTTGTCAATTATGTTGTAGTGTAACACCAACCCCCCCGTTATACCAAAGGGCAGTTCTTGGCATGGGAAATGAGTAATGACTGACATCAATATAAGTCCCCTGTCAAATCTCTGCTTTGAAGTTCAGGCATTTGGCCAATTGTGTGCATCACAATAATATTTTCAGGCTGTTGTGCAGCTCCATTGAGTTTGTATGGTGATGCTTTAACATACAGTGGAATACTCATAACATTTCAAGGTCAGCAATGTAATTTGATCTTCTGATTTCAATTTATCTTGTACTTGAGAGTGAGCCAGAAATCCTTGAGTGGGTTGAGACTTTTTTGTTCATCTCTTCTACTTTCACGTGTTCCAGGGATTTTCATAATTCATGGGACATGTCAGACAACATACCTGGAGTACCTGCAAGTGAGCAAGGCAATGAATCTTTCCCAGGTCTGGGATTTCTGGTCTACACTTAAAACCTAACCTTTAACCTCTGCATGAATGTAAATGTAGTATTACACTTCCCCACAGTGTCACACTGCACATGTACTATGTGAACACAGACATTTGATACAGAAATGTTTCTGAAATAAGTGAGAGTGAACTGTACTGTATGTCAGTAGTGGATTGTTTTCAATGACTTACCGCTAATGGAGCTTTAGGGCCCTGTAGTAAATACTATACCTCCCTAAAGTGTGACACAAGCTGAGAGGCAACAACCAATCCTGTTTGTCAGTGTTTTTAGGAGCAGTTAAACAATCTGTGATGTGAAATTAAGCTCTACCTCTGAACTCACAAAATTACTTCTCCACAAATTTCTTTTGTAGTTGTCCTTTTTAGTGATTACTGACTAAAAAATGTCAAATTTTGACTTCGTGCAGCCTCAGAAAAGCTCACATATCAAAATATCTGACAGCATGAGAGTAGCACCAAGACCTTCCTAAGATAGTACATGTCTAGACTTTCTGTAAGATTTCATCCTAATTGTGTGGAGTCCAGAAAGGATAGGGAGAGTTATGTGGAGGTAAAGAAGTGGACAGCACCATCACATTACAACAGCTTAGACTGGAATGTACAACTGGCAGAGTGGGGACACATCTTAAGTCACTTACATCTTACTACTCTCACATCTTACCCCCCCTTAGTCATCTATCGGGTAGTTTCATGACATTATTTACAAAATCGGGTTCAAGCTGAGACATGTAGGCCTATAGCTTTCTCAATGTCCTTGAGCATTTAATCATCCTATTGGTAGTATATCACACACTTCTTTCTTTTACTGTAAAAGGAAACGCAGCTTTAACAGTGCTTTGGATTTATGGCTCAATTTTCACTGATGCCACATGTAGTAAAAATATATGGCATCAAAGTATTGGAGGTGGGTATAAGATAAAACCATTCACCAATTGTTGTGTATTGTACTGTATATTGCAGTGATTAATGAG